TCCCAAAAGCGGAGCATCCCAGCTTAATTGTAGTAGTCGGTAGAAAAATCCCGACTACTCGGACTTTTTACTACCCGGAGAGCTTGAAATCTCTTTTAGGGGGTGTGCACACTTAAGGTAGGAGTTCGGCTTCCATTGGTTTTGAGGCTTTGAGGTGAATTTCATTAGACTTGAGGTGATTTGGATTATTTGATAAGACTTGATTGGTCTTGAGGTGAATTGGATTTGATTGGATTTGAGATTAAGTCGGATTTGTGATTATATTGAGTTTGAGGTGGATTGAATGGAATTGAATTTGAGATTTATTGAATCATTATATTAATTGTGAATTTTTAAAGTACAAATACTTGTGATATATGTTTGGAAAGCATATTTGTGAATATTGGTTATGAGTTTTTGGAAGGATTTTGATAAAGTGTTTATGTAAATTTTGAGATGAAATTTGGAGTTTTTACGTATGATTTATGTTTTTAGAATATTTATGAGGATTTTGGATATATTATGTATAGTTAGTATTTCGTAATTAATATATTGGAAATATTAATCTATATTTGAAATATTGTTATTTTTACTTACGATTGATATGGAGTGTTTTAAAAGGTTTCCTCCCAAAGGTTTTACAAAAATGTATATATGTATCAAACCTGATTATTTTACAGGGTTGGGTGGGCCTTACTTAGCATTTCCAGCTAATTTTGTTTCTTTGTGTTTTCTTTCTGTACTTTATTTGTGCAGGAATTGAGGATCATGTCGAAGTTGATTTCGAGAGCTTCCACTAGAACACATAGACTAAAATTTACTGAGTAATTTATTTTAGTCCTAATTTTAAAGAATTGTAGTTGAACTATTAATTACGGAAAATTTTAATTATTGGTGGTGGATAGCCTGTGCACTCGGTTATGTGAGAACCGAGTGTGGCGGTAACGCCCCTATTTCCCTTTGAATTTTCCGCTGCACAATTCTGATGTTTTCAAATAGATTATTATTTAAATGTATTTTTGAGTGAGAAATTTGGGGGTGTTACAGACCTCTTTAAGATTTCAAATGTGACTGTATCAATATTTAAAAAATGTCATTAGCCATAGGCACGTGTACTTAATGATCATTGTCTAAAGGTTACAAATTGTATTGATCATAAAAATTTATTTAATGTGATGATGAGAGATCATATAAAAGAGGCCACCAATGTGGTCTATAAATAAGTGTTTTGTATGCATTCTTAATTATATGTAGTACTTCGTAATATACAAAACTTGGTGCTCATTATATCAATTATGCCCCAACTTTATTTCATTTTGTATTGTTGAACTATCAGATTCATTTCTTAGCTCACTTCATGTTATTTAATACTCCTTCCGTCCTAATTTGATTTACAAAATTTCCTATTTTGGTTGTCCCAAAATTGTTTTCTACTTTCTATTTTATGTATGTAAATAAGAATAAAATGACAATTTTACCCTTAGTTTTACTTTTTCTTCATTAACTTAAAGGCATCTACTTTTATGAATATGAGCAAAATTATAAAAAAAAGTATTATTTATTGTCATTCCTTGATCCTTGTGCCAGTCAAAGTTTGCAATTCAATTCAGGACGGAGAGAGTTATTTCTCATTATTTAACATTTTCCATAACAACAATAATGTACACATTTTTGGAAATGTTCACACACCGTGCATCGCACGGATACCGTACTAGTTAAATAAAAATGAAAAAAAAAACGAACACACGGACGTGGGCCATATGTAATTGAGAGTTATGTTTGGTGATAAATAAAGGTCACGTTATCCGGGTTCCGACCCACCGGCCAAACCGCCCCTACCTTTTTCAACCCCTCCACCCCCACAATACTCGATGTCTAGATCCTCATTGTTTTTCATGTTTGTATTGTCAATTACATTTCTACCCCGCAGTGCAATTCACATGTACTACTATTTATTTGGTCAATGGTCATGTTAGGCTACCTACTCTCCGAATTATGCATACCGACATGCATAAGGTTTAAAAAGTGTATCCGGATTTTTTTTTATAATCCACCGGTCATAGTTTACGGTCGCATAATCATGGAGTTTATGAACTATCCTCCACATAGGGATGGAAACGAGGTGGACCGAGGACGGGTACACATAAAACTGAAATCACCTCGTTGGATAAATGTTTGCCCTGTAGCCGTCCCATTGTTCGTTCATGTAATTTTATTTGAACCGTACTCACTCGAACGGGGAATCGGTTTATCCACGGGCAACCGTTTCCCCAAATGCTTTAAAATAACCAATTTATAATTCTAATGTAAACATCCTTCATAGTAAATTATATATTCAAAGCTCCAATTTCTTTTTCAATTTGCAACCCATTTCGTATACATCGTTACCCACTCTGTATCCAATTTTGCTAAATCTTAATGATGTAAAAACTACAAAATTAGGCATCGAGCAAACTCACCAAATTGTAATACACACTCTGTATTAATCACAAGATAGGCATCGAGCAAACTAACCAAACTGTAATATATACACTCTGTATTAATCACAAGAAAACTTACCTTTGATAGGAGTGATTCCGAAAATAGAAGAATGAAGGAATTAGGTAGAATCCTTGATAGAGAGAGATTAGAAGCCGAACCGTAAATCTGTATTTCGTGATGGACTTTGAGTTAGGGATGTTAGAGTTTTTAGAGTGGGTCTCCGGTGTAATATTCTTTATATACTTATATGATACACGGAGTATATGATTTATTGTACACAATTTAGTATATATACTTATTATTCTTATATATAAAGAGTTATAATTTATTAATAATGTTACGGATCGGGTAACAGTGCGGGTACCCGCACCATTAGTGATCAGGGCCGGTTTCGGAGTGGATAACGGGGCGGATTAATATAGAACCATAACTCCACCATTATCCATTTAAAAAAACGAGTATTCCCCACCTTGGTTTTCCCCCGTCAAACCGGTTTTCCCCATTTTGACCAAACCGGTTCGGTGCAGCCGTGCGGGTATTCAATGGGTCGGCCGGGATTGTCATCTCTATCTCCTAAGCTCCTAGACAGTTAAATTCAGACCCCCCCTCATTCCTCATCCATTGGACGACACCCTCAACCCTTATTCAGTTTTTTATTCCTATCCACGTTATGATAATTTAGTTGTCATTTTTTTTTACTTTTTATATATTTGACTTTATCTGGTTTGTCGAGGAATGCATCATATAGTAACTTGCTATCACTATGGAGGTGTTTGGCAATTAGCTGTTGGCTGTTGGCTGATAGCAGTTTCTGTTAGCTGATGATTGATGACATCTGATTTAGTTGGCTGGTTTGATCAACTGATAGTATTAGCGGTTTGTAAAACGGTGTTTGCTTAAATGGTTGTTTAAATTCAGCTGAAAATTTATAAAATGACTTTTAAGGACATAATTTTTTTATTAGTTGCATAGCACGTTATACTTTTTAAATACGATGATACAAAATTACAAATATTATAAATATTTAAATTATATTTTTAACGGGTATTGTCATTGATGTTATTATAATGTACGACTACTTAGACCATTATTATTTACTATTTTCTTCGTCGCAAATTGAATTGTAAATTTGACTTTTTTTGATCAAATAATGTCATTTTATTCACTTAATTAGAATATCAATTCTTAATTAATTTTTAATTTGAATTTTGCAACTTTATAGAGATTGTAATGTAGTTTCTAAATATGTAAATTTTAATTATTAAAATTAAACTAATTATTAATTGGCAGGATATAGATTTAACAATGGTTGACCAAAAAATGTTGACTCTGCCAAACAAATTGGGATAGAGGTATTACGTATTAACTAAATGATAATTGCAAATAACAATTCTTTTACATTTTTCATGTTTTTCTAAAATTATTACTCCTTCCATTCCTATTATAACTTCCAACTTTTCTTTTTTGCCCGTTCCAATTAAAACTTCCACTTTCCCTTTTTGGTAAAGAATATGTGGTTCACAACATTTCTTACACATTTCTCTCTCCTTTGCGCAACTCTTCACCACACAATACCCACTATCTGAAATTGTGTGTCAAACCTATTTGGAAGTTATAATAGGTACGGAGGTAGTAATAAATAGTTATATTAACTTAAGTTATATTAAGAATTGTTGTCTAACAAAAAAACAATCATGCTAACCTCAATGTGTCAGTAGCCTAATGGCCTAGTACGTAAGAAAATAATGTAAGCAGGAAAGGCAAAGGACTACAGAGTATTTTACGGGAAGAAAAATAAATGGGTAGATCAGGAATATCGTGGAAAGGTCAAACCTAAAAGCTATATTTCTTAGCTTTTTCAATTTTAGCTGTTTGGGATAAAAAGCCAAATGAAAAAGTTATTTAACCAAACACACTATTAGCTAATGAATCTAGTCAAAAAGCCAAATCATGGTCAAAATCGCCAAAAATTGGCTGATCCGCCACCAACCAAACACCCCATATATAATTCATTTTCAATAATAACCGAAGTTGGTGGAATTTAAATTCCATGGAATATCAATTTTTTTAAGTTGCTGGAATTTAAATCCCATTAATTACAATATTAATTTATTTAATGAACAACAAAACTTGAATTACAAATTCTTAAGGAAGTCTTAACTAATTAAAAAATTAAATAGGAAAAGTCCAAATTTTGATTATTTACAAGGTAGGAACAATGATTCTTCACAAAATAGGAATAATATTCAAATAATATCATGTTCCTAAAACCATGATAGGAACATCACAACCTTAAAATATTTACACTGCCTTCACAAGTACACTGCCTTTATGGCATCACAAAAAAGAATGTGTTCAGTTTATGCAAAAAAAGACAGTCCAGGCTGTCCAACTTCACTATACAAAAATGCCATATGCACAAAAAAGTGAAGGCATCACAATATTAATGGCAGTATGTTTATGTTTACAATACATGGCACCACAACACAAAATAAGATTGCCCTAGCAATCACTTAATGCAAAAAAAAAACTAGGATGCCTTCAATAGCAATAATTAATGCTGCCTTCACTAGCAAAAAACCAAAGATGTCTTCATGCTCAAGTGATATTTGCACCTACATCCACTGTCATGTCTATTATCTCACCCTCCAAGAGATAGCTTGTGGTATCTTCAATGAGAGTAGATGGAATGCCAATCTGAATGGGTAGTTCCCCCAACCTGTCCAGTTTTTTTATGTGTGTGGGGATTTTTATAATTATTACCACCCTTCACTTTCAATACTTCTAACATAACATATTGAAGATGCAACCACGTGTAGTTTAGTAGCTTAGGTTCAAAAGAATGAAATGCATCTTGAATAGCACTCACTAATTGATTTACATCTTTAGGAAAAGTCTTGTATTGAATTGATTGTATACCTCTAAAAAAACCAAGGTCAAGCACATTAAAATCAGGACTTTGAGCTGGCTGGCAAATCAATCTGATATTGAACCCAAAAGAAGTTGCAGCCTCAATGAATATTTCATCATGCACACTAATATGAGGCCTAGCATTATCTTGTTGAATCCATATATCTTTGCATGCATATGATGGCCATTTTTCCCTTATTGCTGGCAGTAATGTATCAATCATTTTTGACCTGATTACTTCTTTGGTCACACTTTGAATTGCTTTTGTTTCCGGGGTGCCGGCTACTCTATTAGCCGAATTTCTTTGTGCATATATCACCTCTGTGAATGGGAAAATCCCAATTTTGCCATCCCATATTATCTCACCTTCAACTGAAACCTGTGGCCTGCCAACAGCAGCCATAAACATGACTTTTCCAATGAATTTTTTGTTTTGGCAGCTTCTATACGGATCATCCTCCCAAGGAAATAAGTAAAACTTTTGTGTTTGTTGTGACATGTAGAACCACTTCTCATCTATATGGATAACATTGTACATTGCTGAAAATTTTGGGATTGTATGGACTGTACTTGGCATAACCTGACCCATGATGTGTTGTAGGCGCTTTATCATGTGTGAATGACTTAGTTTAGGCTTGATGCTATTTGTATGAGCTCTAAGTTGTCCAGTTTTTAGCAACCTATAAACCGTTGAGTGACTGATTCCAAGTGAAGACAAAGATCTAATTGTTGTTCTCTTTTCAAGGGGCACACCATGAAGCGTCTCTAAATTAAAAGGTTGAGCTTTCCTTCCACTCCTTCCCTTTTTCTTATTTTGAACATTAATCAGTGTACCCCTATCAACTTGAACTTTTGTTGCAGACCATAATCTCCACACTGTTGTTCTATGAACTTTAAATTCTGCTGCAATCTATGATATGGCACCTTTGGGTAGAGTTTTTCCATCTGCCAAAACTAAAAGTTTTTCCACTAGGTGCTTCCTTTCATCATTTTTCATATCTAATCTTTTTCTGCCTACTAACACTTCTTCTCCCTCACCTTCAGTTTCAGATATGAAAGAAGAAAATGTTTCAACATCAGAGTCAGCATCGAAGTCACCAAACCTGAAATCTTCCTCCAATTGAAGAAGTTCATCCACTGAAATCTGCTCATCCATTTGTGTGCAATGGGTGGTGTGTTTTGTTTGATTTGTAATGAAAGAAGCTGTGAATTATAATTGCCCGTATATGGTATAAGAAGTGAAAACTTGTCCTGGAGGGAGATTTAATTTTTTTGGCTTTTTGAGTTCCCTCCAAATCTGAATTATTGTGATGGCATAGTTCCGTACTTGCGTAGAAGAGATGATGGCTTAGTTGTTTTATTTTAAATTATTATGTGGTGTACAGCAGGCATGGGTCTTTTATTGTGGGGTCTAAAAGTTGCTTTTGTACTGTAGCAACTCTATCACACTTCTACGGAAAAGAACTGCGCAGTACTAACTAAAAGGGCTTTATTGGAACAAATATTACTTTATTCGTGTTTCTTAATATGTGTGCCCAGCCTCATGTTGCAAGATTTCTAGAACGGAGGAAGTATCATATATATATATATATGTATTGCATCTTCCTTTTTATTTGTCACGCATTGCTTTTGAAAAGTTTTTCCATCTAATAAATTTCTCTATACAAATATCTTTATACAATTTATACCTCACTTATTATTTTTTATTTTCTCAATTTATTTTTTCGGAGATATTATGATTATTTAAAAAAGTCTATGAGGAGCGCCGTAAGATGCACTTGCTCTCCCCCCCCCCCCCACCCATGGGTGCCATGTAACCATTTTGGCACCCTTAAATACATGGGTTGGAGCAAAATGGGAGTCAAAACATCACAATTGGCATTTTCACCTTAGAGCATCTCCATTCATGATACTCAAGTTTACGGTTTTTTATACCTTCTTATTGTCATGTCACTTCCATGTAAGATAATCTCAAATAATCTCCAAACCAATCAATTTCTCCTCATCCATGATCTTAACTTACCTAGATTTTTTTACAAAGCTAGTTATTATTAGTTGTCTCAGAAGTGGGAAGAGAAGCCTAAAAGTTGTGAATAATATCAAAATAATCCAACTTTAGAATTTGATACCGGATTATTTTATCAAATAATCTCATAAAATAGTTTCAACTCCTCATCCATGATCCAAAAAAAATCCTCCACATCATCAAAATGATCCCAATAATAATATATGGAGCCATGGAGGGGATGCCCTTATGGGTTTCAATCGGCCTAAGGACATTAAGAACAATGAAGGGAGAGTTTTTTATGACAACAAATGTGATAACGTTAATATAGGATTATATAGGTATACTATTATAGTCACTGTAATAATCATGGTTACTTTAAACAACTAATACTTATAAATCATAATTTAATTGTCAAATATTAAAAATAATATATTTATAACATCACAAATTCATAGTTATCATATATCAATGATATCATTTTATTATAAAACCATCAAAATTATTTTCAAATATACTCAAATTACCTTATTTAATTATTATCTAAATATTGTGTTATTTTCCGATGTGAATCTTTAACCGGGACGGTCCGGCCGGATGTAGTACTTCGTTGTAAAAGGAAAGTACGAAAATGAAAAAATATAAGTAAATAGTGAACTACTCTATTACTCCCTCCGCCTCTCTGTTATTGTCTCATTGCGGTTTACGATGCTTGACCGATGATAAAGTAAACAGATCATAACAGGATCAAAAAATTACAAAGTCGCAAAAATCAGAATCAAATTTGATACATAAAGTAAGAGATTAAGAGTGACTTGTGTTGACCAAGTGAATAGGAAATGCGACAATAACAAGGGGACGGAGGGAGTAATATATATGATGTGATTATATTTTATGATTGTATACACTCCAGTATTTCGTACAAGAAATAATAAACTACTCGTGATCACAAATGATCGACTTTCTTAAGAATAGATATCTAGAAGATATTGATATTAATTAGTCATATAGATGGTAATAATAGCAACGATGGCTATACTAATTATTAACACACTAGTAATATTAATGATATCAATAAACTATTTTTAATGAAATATTATTCAAATAAAATTTATGATCTGATTAAATTTTCATAAATATAATGTTATTGTCACTAAATAGTAAAATTGAACTTAACCATAGCTATTAAAAATTAGGGCACATTTTTATCTTTTAACTTTATTTAATCACATATTTTTACTTGGACTGTAATTAATTTGCTGATCTGGTCTGGTTTGGTAAACGTCTGGTCTCTGTGTATTTTATAACTAACAAATTCAGGCCTGATCTGTTTAAATATGGTCTGATCTGGGACATAAAATAGTCCAAGTAAAAACATTCATATTATCCAAATAAAATTTATAAACTGATTAAATTTTCATAAATATAATGTTATTGTCACCTAACAGTAAAAGTGAACTTAAACATAGTCATTAAAAATTAGGTCACATTTTTATCTTTAAATTTTATTCTAATCACATACTCTTTTGACATTATTTTAATCACACATAATTCATTATTTGTAATGATACTATTATTAGTAATTTATTACGTAGTACTACGTATTACTATACTTTGTAAGGAGTATTACCTTAAACAGCGCAGCCATTTCTAGCTGCAAGTCAAAATTTCTTCAGGCGTCTTCGAAGTCAGCACCCCAGTCAACGAAGGGGCGATCTCGTCATTCTAAGTATTTCGTAATGCGTTTATTCATAAAATCCTTCTTAATTAACCCATGATAACTACAACATGGAGAAAATCAAAGGTAAATAAAAAAGAAAAGAAAAGACAGATACCGAAAATATTGTATATATTGTCTTTTTCTGAGTTTACCCCTCCCTCCTCTCTAAAACATTATTTCCACTTTAACGCTTTCTCCAAAGCTGACAAACTAAGCAAAAGCCAGCGCACCCGCGGCCAAAAAGCCACAAGCTTAAGCAAGTTCCGGAGATAGAAAAAGAGAGGATGGGGAGGGCCGGAGGGGGCAGAAGGGTCCAACAGGAATGGGTTGATCGAAACCCAAAGCTTCCATAGGCGTTTCCTTGGTGGCAAATTTAAGTCAAGCGATCCATTTTTGTTTGCGTTTTGTTTTCTGGTCAGTTTCTGGTTCTCAAGATTTAATCTTTCTGCTTCAGATTGCCAAAGTAACCAGCTGTTCGTTTTCTTGTATGCGTATGTATGCATAAAATGTAAATAATTATTATAACTTTGTTATCTTTTGATTGGTTTGATATGTGAGCTGTGAGTATGATTCTGATAATCTTGGCTAATCACGTCTTATTGATTGCAGTCATTTCCATAAATTAATTTTCTGTTGTTAAAAAGTGATTGTTTAAGGGAGTGGGAAGAAAAAAGGATTTCTTGTTGTTTTGCTACTAAAGCGTTTTGATTTGCTGTAATTAATACAGATCTGATCTGGGATTTTTTTTCTTATTTCCTTCAACTTCTTTCAGTGTTCTGCAAGGAATTTTTTCAAAAGCTTTCAGAAGGCAGCTGTTGGAGTACTTCATATAGTTTTTTGGACTTGGATATTCATATCCAATCAATTTTAAGGTATTTTGATTGAATGCCCTGCAAGGCTGCAATATTGTTTAAGCTCACCTGCTGCTATAATCTATTCACCTGAATAACTGTTCTTAGTTGTTTATATTTAGGTATAAGGGTGGAGAAATCTAGAAAGATGAGTCAACTGTAAGTCTCATTTCTGGGAGATCAAAGGTTACAGTTCATCAACCACTTCTGTGTTGATATAAGCTTTCTTGTTGGTTGTTTTTTCCAAGAATCTTGAGCTATTTTTCTGCACATTTCTCGAGTCTTCAAGCTCGAGGATGGCGAAATTGTCTCATGCTGATTCCAGACGAATGTATTCTTGGTGGTGGGACAGCCACATTAGCCCTAAGAACTCTAAATGGCTTCAGGAGAATCTCACAGGTAATTCTTTCTTGTGACCTCCTTGATTCAGAATGTGTGCTTTCTATCATGATTGTTGCCTAATATCAATCAGGTAACAGACAACCGTTAGGCCATGTTTGGGGGGGGGGGGGGGATTTGGAGGGGAGTATTGATTTTTATCAAACTAATTTGTCTATAGTTTTTGTGTTAGACTAGAATATAACTATGTGTTAAAATGAAGAATGTTTTTCCATATAGTTTTTCATTTACAAGTTCTTTGGAACCATCTAAATTTAAGAATAAATTTTAGAAATGATAATCCCACCACATCAAAGAAAGAATCTTGTTTTTAATACTAATTCCAGTATTACAAGCATGACTCTTCTTTTGAGATGGAGGGTGTAACATATTATTCCCACATATATAGTATTTCTATAAAAACACCAAAAGAGATGGGGCCTTCACGCTTCACCAATAAGGCACCTAGGAGCTCCAGAATGCA